AATGGAGAGAGAAAAAGCCTACCTGTCTGATGGTTTCAGGGGACTATACATGCCAAAATATATCAACTGTATATGTTACACATGTGAAGTTTATTGCATATCAATTATGCCTCAGTAAGGTTGATTCAATAGAACAGTGAAAACTTGGGGCGCCTGGGTGGCTCAGTCGTTGAGCATCTGCCTTCGGCTCAGGTCATGGTCCCAGGGTCCTGGGATCGAGCCCTGCATCGGGCTCCCTGCTCAGCAGGAAGCCTGCTTCTCCCTCTCCCGCTCCCCCTGCTTGTGTTCCCTCTCTCACTGTGTCTGTCAAGTGAATGAATAGAATCTTTAAAAAAAAAAAAAAAAAAGAACAGTGAAAACTTACTGAGCACCCTATCAACTAGTTTTATTCACGGTGTGCGGCTTTTCTTTTTTTTATTAAAAGATTTTATTTATTTATTTGACAGAGAGAGACACAGCGAGAGAGGGAACACAAGCAGGGGGAGTGGGAGAGGGAGAAGCAGGCTTCCCACGGAGCAGGGAGCCTGATGTGGGGCTCGATCCCAGGACCCTGAGATCATGACCCAAGCCGAAGGCAGACGCCTAACAACTGAGCCACCAGGCGCCCCTGTGTGCCGCTTTTCATAACTACTTTATGAGTTTGTTGCTATACCTACTTTATTGGTGCAGAACTCACTTGCTCAAGGCCCAAGTCATGATTTGATCGAGGTGTGTCTGCCTCCAAAGCCCTTGCTCTTTCCAGAACACTACAGTGCCTCCACAAGGTCACTAAATACATGTTGAATGAATTAGCAATCAACAGATAAAAAGCACACCGAGTATTTCTTGAGAGGAAGAGTAAATATATAAATATATAAATATGTTGGTGTCTTTGAATCAAAATAATCAGCTGCATTAATTTGTAAAGACAAAATGTAAAGAAACGCAGTTAAGAGGACACTTGACAGAAAGAAAGGCTATCGCAATTGGAAATAAGACATAGGCTAAAGTGAGCATTTAATCTTGTGAGAAAAAACGAATGGCTGAACTGCTAAAACCGGCATGCACCAGCTGAGTAGTCCAATGTCATGGGGTTCGCCACTGACCCTACAGGCTGGCTTAACTGGAAAATGGCACAAACACTGTAGCTCAGAAGGCAGACTCAAGTTAATTACAGCACTCATGACTCTGAGTGATACTGAACCATAAAAAGCATATTTTACATAATAGAAGGAGTTTTTATGTGACTGTGAAACTATATAGCTGAGATCTCTTAATTATTCTGTAGGTGTTTAACAGATTGCAGAAGTCATTCACTGTCAATGTGAATAAACATAAGAAAGCCAGCTGGACACAGGCCCAATGCTGTTTTGCAGTTTCTATTTAATTCGGGTTGGTACTTAGGCACTAGAAGGGAGACCCTGATAAATCAGAATGGACTGGGCATAGGAAGCCACGGGTTCTGGTCCCATCTCTAAGACTGGCAAGCGCTCTGACCTTACATGTACTCACTATACAGCATCCAAAGGAATCTTTCTAAAATGGGAATTGAATCTCACCATTGCTTTGCTCAAAACTGTTCAAAGGTTTCCCACTGCACCAGAGCTGGCATTAAATCCAAACCCAATAAGGCCCGGCACCCTCTGGCCCCTTTCTAATCTCCAACCTCACTTTTACCCTGTTTA